ATTTATTTTTTAGTTCTCGGCGGACACAACATCTTTGTTGGTATGTGGTGCTGAGGATCGAACCCGGGCCGCACGCATGCCAGGCGAGCGCGCTACCGCTTGAGCCACATCCCCAGCCCCCCAGCCCTTTTTATTTTTATTTTTAAAATTTTTTTGTAGTTGTAGAAGACAGCATGCCTTTATTTGTTTATTTATTTATTTTTTAATACAGTGCTAAGGATCGAACCCATTGCCTCACATGTGCTAGGCAAGTGCTCTGCCACTGAGCTACAGCCCCAGCCCTTTATTTTAAATTTTGAGACTGAGTCTCATTAAGTTGCCCAGGCTGACTTCAAACTTGCGATCCTCCTGACTTAGCCACCCAAGTTGCTGGGATAACAGATGCGTGCCACCACACTTGACCATTTTCTAAAATTTTGTAGATTTTTCCTATCTGTTTCTCTGCTTCTTTTTCCTTGGGAGCTTCAGTTTGTTTGTTTTGTTTTTTTTGTTTGTTTATTTGTTTTGGTTTTTTTTGTTGTTGTTGTTTTGTTTTTGGTACCAGGAATTGAAGCCAGGGGCATTTAATCACTGAGCCACATCTGCAGCCCCTTTTATTATAGAGACAGGGTCTTGGTGAGTTGCTTAAGACCTTGCTAAGTTGCTGAGGCTGGCTTTGAACTCATTATCCTGCCTCAGCCTCCCAAGCATCTGGGATTACAGGCATGCGCCACTGCACCCAGATTGCTTAAATGTTTCTTGAACATTTAAGATGAGAGGCAGGATGATGCAGACTTTGGAGCCAGACTACCTGGTTTTGAATGCTGGCTCTGCTACTTCTTAGCTGTGAAAACCTGAACCCAAGTTCTTTAAATGCTAATGATTCAGTTTCTTCATCCTTAAAATGGGGATCATCACCTACCTGAGTATTGAGGATTCTATTAGTTAACATAATGAAACACTTCAAATAATCATGTAGTAAATACTTAGTAAGTAGTAGATTTTGTTGGGGGTACTGGGGATTGAACTACTTAGGGGCACTCAACCAATGAGCCACATCCTCAGCCCTATTTTTTTTTTTTTGTATTTTATTCAGAGACAAGTTCTCACTGAGTTGCGTAGCACCTCACCATTGCTGAGGCTGGCTTTGAACTCATAATCCTCCTGTTTCAGCTTCCCAAGCCAATGGGTTTATAGGCGTGTGCCACCGTGACCAGGAATTGAGTCCAAGGGTGATCTCATCCTCAGTCCTTTTTGGTGGGGGCAGAGAGACAGGGTCTCACTAAGTCATCCTGGCTGGTCTCAAACTTGATGTCCTCCTGCCTCAGCCTTCAGAGTTGCTGGAATTACAGGTATGCACCACCAGCCAGTCAATAATAATTTTTTCTTAAGAGACAGGGTCTCACCATGTTCTGCGGACTGGCCCCAAACTCCTGGGCTCAAGTGACCCTCCTGCCTTAGTTTTCCCAAGTAGCTGGAACTACAGGTGTCCATCACCATTCCTGACTTTTTAATAATTTAATGAAGTTTCTAGAGGGAGTGGAGATAAATGTGTATGTTCAATCTGCCATTTTGAATTGATTTTTAGTGCCTGAAAAATTTTGGCTGATTTTATCTGAACAGAATGTTCATTGCCTTAAAAAAGTTTGCAGACCACTTTATACTTTAGTAGCTTACATTTTAAATGTCAGAGTCTAAGCCAGAAGGGGAAGGAACTTGTTCAAGGTCACAATTTGGATTACACAGAAATAGGGATAGACTCTAGTCTCTGAGTGCAGGATGAACTGTTCTTTCATACTTTCTTGTTATTCCATCTGTGACAGTGACTGAACTGATTTCAGGGGCTACCATGTGAATTTGAATTAATCTCCCTCCATTCACTATACTCATGCTTAGCAACATATCATTTTTACTAGTTTTCCAAGATTTAGAGAGAGTGTGAAAGTGAACATTTGCAGACAAACCACATTCTCAAAATTCACTGCCAACACTTGAACCTAGACTTGATTTTTTAAAAAATATTTGAAATTTAAATACCCAGCAAACCTATTGAATAAGCAGAGGCATGACAAA